GTGTGGAGCAGTCATAAAAGGACTGGCTGTGGGCAAGGAAACTTCAGATTTCCCCTTGTACACGCTGTACTATTTGGATCTTTCTAAAATATGCATATTATAATTTTATGATGTAAAAGTTAATTTAGAAATTTAAATATATCATAGCAGCAACATTCACAATAGCCAAAAGGTAGAAGCAGCCCAAGTGTCCATCAACAGACGGACAAAGTATGGTGTTATCCATACAACAGAATTTCACTCAGCCTTAAAAAGGAAGGAAATTCTCACACCTGCTACAACATGGAAGCACCCTGAGGACATTATACTAAGTGAGATAAAACTGTCACAAAAGAACAAATACTGTGTGATTCCACTTCTATGAGGTCTCCAGAGTCACCCAACCCATAGAAACAGAAAGTAGAGGGTGGATGCCCGGGACTGGGGGAGGGAGATGGGGACTTAGTGTTTAATGGGGACAGAGTCTCAGTCTGGGGTAATGAAAATGTTCTGGAGACAGATGCTGGTGACAGTTTTACAAGAATGTGAATATCCTTAATGCCACTGAACCATACACTTAAAATGGGGAAGATGATCAATTTTAGGTCATGTGTATTTTACCACAATTTCTAAAAAATTAAATGTAAAAAGTGGACATGGAACTTTTTATTATGTAAGAATAAGCAGAGTTCCCAGGAGGTTTAATCTCCAGTTGGAGGAAGAACTAGGCCTGGTGAATACATTAAAGGGATAAGAAGAGCTACACCATGAGATGGCCTGCTCAGAAGAGGCCCCAAACGCGCACAGAGGTTAAGGGGACGTGCACACCAAGCACTGATGGCGCTCACCTCTGGAGATAAGACTGAAGTGACTTTTGTCTTCTTTCTACACATCTATTATTCAAGCTTTGCATAGTAACCATTGGTTATTTTATAACTGGTAAAAAGCACAACAAATAATCTTCCACAAACCGATTCCCACAGCACACTGACCATTACAGAAATTACAGAATGACATTCTCTGGAGGAGTCCCACGTGGGCAGCACCGGGCACTGCCCCTTTAACCAGAGAGGCCGGACGCAGCAAAGCTTGAATTCCACACTAAAGCACTGCGGTGTGCTGTCTGTCCTTCCCATGATCCTGGTTCACACACTGCCTTAAAGCTTTCTGAAAGAAGACGGGTGTAAATAATGAATAAGTGAAGAAGAGGCTCTCTTTTCTATGATAAGTTTCCACCAAATGCTTATTTGCCACACCCATTAAGTCGACTTCTTTACCACTTCTCTGGGGGTGGGTATGGCTGGGTCTTCCTGCAGTTGCACGGGAAACCTGAACTCACTGTCACATGTCGGACTCGACCGAGCCGCAGAAGGGCAGCCCCTTCGCTGAGTCCCAGGGCAGCTCCGGGGCCTGCGCACTACCACAGAGTCCCCCTTCCAGGTAGCAGCGCGCTGGGCGTCTGGGATTTCCTGCTGTCCAGGCCGCACCACCCTGAGACCTCACGGCACACCAGCCCTCCGGGCCTCCCTTTGACTTGCTTCCAAGATGAAATCGGGCTTATGCAGAGGACTGCGCATGGAGACTCTGTGCTCACGGCGCACTGAATCTACCTGCACTTTCCACTGGGGCCGCAGGTGGCTTGGCCGAATGCCACGGGCAGCTCTCCAGGCAGTGGTGTGAAATGGCCCACCTGGGTGTCTGCTATTATTGAACACCAATTAAATCCCAACAGCGCACTGAGTCGAAGAGTTATTTTCAGGAAGCCCCTGGACTGCAAATTCAGAGGAAAGTTGGTCTTTTCTCATTCTTTTTCATTAAAATGTCAGAAATCTTTACCCCCCCTACGCTGGCTGACAGCCCTGCCCCCGAGGGATCTTTGCTACTCTGCTCCCTCTGGAGGCTAGGCACGCACTTTTGCACACAATAAAGAGAGAAAGCTAAACTTTGCAGCTGACAGGTTATTTAAAGCTTTAGAGTCCAGGAGCAATTAGTCAGAGTAACAAAGTAAACTCCCTTCAAATCTAAAATTTCTACAGTTGCCTCTTAGGAGCCCCACCTCTGTCTTCAGGGCCCTGACTTTAGGGTGATCTAATTCAGTCTTCAGTGACCTGACATCGAGGTGGCCCAACTCAGTCTTCAGTGCCACCATTTAGCCTCTGAGCTGCAGCTTCCTCACCAGCAAAGTAAAACTGAAATGAATACTGTGTTTTAAGGGTGATATGAAAATCAAACGAGGCCATTTATGTGGACAAATCCACTGGTTCTTTCACTCAGCAAACACTCTGCCAGGCATGCACTGGGTGCTGGGATGCAGACAGTACAAGGAGGTGGTGTGCCATCTTCCTAAGCTGACGGTCTACGAGGGGAGAGAAGCATTTATCAAACAATCGCACAAACACGCACTGCACACTGTGAGATGTGTTCTGGGGAAGGTACAGGGTGCCATGAGCCTCTCCTTTGGGGTGGGGTACGAGCTCATCTTGTTGAGAGATGGAGCATTTCAAACAGCCAAGCTGAAGTCTGCCAGCGAGGTTGAGTGGCCCTTGGCTGCTGATGCTAAAACAACACACAGCAAGACCGTGTCCTCTGCACAGAAGGGCACATTGTCACCGCCTCTGCAGCCTTCTTGTGGAGCAGTGAACACCACAGTCAGATCTCCAGGCTAGCTCCCATAGCTCCAGGTTTATAGAAAGTACAAAGCGAAGGCACAAGGTACATGCTATATTTGGGATGCAATCAGCAAAATCCAGAATGTGAAAACCACTACAAGACAAGTGAATTCATTTTCTAAAAATGTTGTGAGGAAAGGAAGAAGAAGGGGGAGAACACTTCTGCAAGTTTAAACAGATAGACCCGCCACTTCAATGGCTCTTCTCTGGATCCTGCTTCAAATAAAAAAAAAAAATTTTGTAAAGGAAATTTGTGACCACTAAGAAATGTGAACACTGATTAGATAATGATATTAAGACATTACTATTAACTTTCATACGTGGTGAAACTATTGTGGTTAGGGTTATACAAGTGTTCTCATCTTTTCCAGAGATATGGTATTGAGATACAGAGAGATGGAACCCTCTGAGGTCGGGGAGGTGGCAGGTGCACAGAAGTAGTAGGAAAGACCGGGAACTGCCTTTTGCTGAAGCCCCATGATGCAGTGCACAAGGTTCATCTTACAGTACTCTATTTATTTTGTGATTGACATTTTACATGTTTCTTTTTAAAGCATAAAGTGCAGCTGGGAAGACAGTATATATAAAGAGATACCAACATTGCAAGTTAGCACAGAAAAAAAAAAAAGCCAATCAAATTATGCAGTTAATAAGGGTCATTGGACAGTGAAGAGCATTTTCAGAGAGGATGTTCCCAAAGATCTGCACCTCGGGGGACATCAAGAAGAATGGGAAGGTCCCAAGTAACGGGGAGGCAGGAAGTTCCTTCTAAGCAGTAACAGACACCTGAAGTGTGCCACATCCTGTGAACATACCTGGCTCTCTAATGGGTTTAAGTCCCTTTGGTAGGGGCTTCCTATTTCCGGTAACTAGGACAGAAGTAGTTGATAAATGGGACTTAAGTTGTGGGAGAGGAGAAAGGAGACAGAGAAGGGGTGGTTGCAGAGAAAAGTAGACAGCCCCCACGGCAGAACCGGGAGCACAAAAGCACAGAGGGTGGTCAGCACCACGGAGAGGGCCTGGAGTCGGACCGGAGGCCACCACTTGGCCACTGGCTGGGTGGGGGGTGACCTTCCGCGGTGTTTAGAGCAGAGGTGTCAGGTGAGGCTGAGCGACAACAGGAAAGCCACATCAGCAGATGAAGGCCTCTGGTGGAGGCTGGTAATTACGGGAGTGTGGAAGGCAACAGGGCCAGGAAACGGGATTTCTCAGAGCAGTGCACGGTTTAAAGCAGCCCCCAAAGGAGGGAGAGGGGCTACTGGAGGCTGCAGCCTCCGTGGAGGAGTTCCAGTCGTACAATGGCGTATTTATGGGCAAACAATCCGTAGGCAAGTGCACAGCCTGCCTTCTCATACAGCTTTCTTTCCCAAGGCAAGAACGAGAAGAAAGCATTAGTAATGGCCACACATGCCTCCCTCTAATTATAACTTTGCTCTCCTTCCATTTAGAAGGTGCCATAATGGCTTTGTGGATTGAGAGAGAGAGAACAAGAGACCTACTTAGCTGAAAAGCAGCAATACGTAGAAAAGAAGACTGTCAGAGCAAATCCAATTAAGGCGTCACTTACAGAAAATAGACTGCTGATGTTAATGTGATTCTTGGTCCGTTTTTTTAGAAACCCTGCTATCTGCTCAATTTTATTATTTGTATGTCTTCAAAGAAGAAGTCATATTTTATCAGAGTCTCACTTGCTATTTTATGGCCTTAGAAGACAAACACTAGAGTCCTCTGCACCTTACAGAGTCGGAACCAGTCAACACCCCTTCTACTTGGGGCGGCCACAGCAGGGGCGTGACCCGCGGGAGAGCCCCAGAGGATCAGGTGGAAAGCCACCCACTTCGAAGGCCGCACGTGGCCTCACTGCATTGTGAGTGGCATTAGCTTCACAGTGGGTTCTTTTGGGGACAGGCAAATAACCATAACTCCACGAGGTGGCCCCAAGTTTGACCGTAAGGAGTGCTGAGGGGCGACATACACCAAACCCAAAAGCCTGCATGTTCCATTTTCCAAAACGTTCTGTGGCCAACATGGTTTGGGGGCCAGATCTGGTCACGTTCCCTAACCTGTTTGAGCACCTTCATCCGTGAAGCAGTGGACGGACACTGCAGGGCAGGGCCCACACAGCCTTGCTTCCGCCACCCCCGGAAGGGCCCTTTTCTGCCGGGCCTGACTACGACCGCCTTCCCTCCTACAGCAGCGGGGGGACGGGAGGGTGCTGAAGGCCCTTCCTCACACCACACGGGCTGTGGCTGTGACCCAGGGGGCAGCACAGAGTGCAAAGGGCTGGCCCTGGGCAGGTGCCGGGAAGACAGGAACAACAAAAACACAGGGGACTGGAGGAGGCTGACTCACCATCGCTGAAGGCCGGGGGGTCCTCGGGGTCTCCTGGTGATGAAGGCCGTTTCCGGAGGGCCGCTGGGGCTGAGAGGACCCTTGCTGATCTCCAGGGCGTACGCAGCGGGTTCTGAGGCCCCGGGTCGCCCTCCCCGTGGGGCGCTGGGGGCTTCCGAGCTGCAGAGGTGCCCAGCGAAGTTACCAGGCTCTGCCTGTTGGCACCGCTGTCTACCTTGGGGCTCAGCTCGTCAGGCCGCAGCCGGCTGCGTGTCTGCAAAGGGCGGCCCCCGGGGTGATCGGCCCGGGGCCCGGGAGCGTAGGTCAAAGCAGACGTCCGCGCCGTGAAGGTCAGCACGCCGTCAGCACGGGGGTCCTGACCCTGTAGGGGCTGAGGATCAAACACAGCAGGTGAGCCTCCATGTCAGCTGCTCAAAAGGGCACTTGGGGCACTAATAGCCCTGAAACAGACACCCGAATTTTCACGCCACTGACAGACCAAACTCTATGGCCCACATTTGGTTTGCATTGGTTTCCTAATAGCAGCTTTATGGAGGTGTAATTCCCATACCACAGAATACACCCAACTCAGTGTTCTCAGCATACCCAGAACAGGGTGAACATCACCGCCATCTTTAATCCCAGCACGTCCGATCACCCCAAGAGAAACCTCATACTCATCCCCACACCCCCAGCCCTAGGCACCTGCCCGTCGACCTTCTGTCTCTGTGGAGACAGGTTCTATCCGTGGAATCATACGCCACGTGGCCTTCCGTGCCTGGCTTCTCGCACCCTGTGCTCGAGGTGCATCCCGGCCGCGGCACCCGCAGCGCTGCGTTCTTTCCTACCGCCGAAACGTCTCATTTTAAAGAGATCGCACATTTTGTTTCTCAGTCGGTGGACATCGGGGCCATTACACGGCTATGAGCATCCATCTACAAGTTTCTTGGGGACGTGTTTCCAGTCCTCTTGGGTTTACGCCTGGACGTGCAACTGCCAGGTGTATGGTAAGGGTGCATGTGACTTGTCGGGAGCTGCCAGGATGTGCTCTGACAGGGATGCGCCTCGTGTGCTCCCACCACCAGCTGTGAGGACTGCAGTCTCTCTCCCTCCTCCCTCTGTTTCCTTACAGCCAGCTAGTCGGTGGGAAGTGGCAGCTCACTGAGGCTTTGACTTGCATTTCCCTGATGGTCAATGATGCTGAGCGTCTTTCATGGGCTTCTGTCTTCTGTGGAGAAATGTCTCTCCAACCCCCATCACCTGCACTGGTGTTTACTGTTGCTGCAGAAACAGCTCTCCATCGGAGACTGGCTCTCTCCCTCGATACAGGCACCTACTGCTCCGTCTTACGGTTGTTTCACTCCAACTCCTTTCTTTACCGACTACTGAAATCACTTTCCTCTCCTATTCCTTTAACAGAAATATTCCACAACAGCAAAGCTACCCTTCTATGTAACACCACGTCCACGACCCGGCTAGCATGGCCTCTCACTGAGCCTCCACCGGTGTGTCCTCACTCACTCACTCAGTTGGCCCAGGAGGGTGCATTCTCATCAGACTGTTTTGCCACTAGACAAATCAAGACCCAGTTGTCCTCCACTCTGGAACAGCTATAAAAATGCTAGAAAGTTCAATGTTCTACTTCTGACTGTGGGACCATCAAATTTTCCTAGACAAACACAGAAATTTCCAACGTGGAGATTCTCAGAAAAGTTATAGCTGTCCTGGACGCTTATTCAGAGCTCCCTTCATGATGTGGAATGGGTCCATGAGCCATAAAGTTTTTCAATCTTGCCCATTCATATTTTCTAAATGCACCTTGCTTGGTGAGTCAAAGGGGAGTAGACCTTGGGATCTAGTTAAGATGTGCGGCCATCACTGAATTTAAGACAAGCGGTCCAGACTCCCAAGTCTGGCTATTTTCAAAAATATGTGTGTTCAGCCTTCCAGGATGGGTTTTGGTGTAGCAAGTTAGAAATCAGAAAACTAGGGTTGATACGGGTTCTAGTTATTGTTCTCACATATGAACTCGAGCAAATCCTTTGGCCTTTTGAGACTGTATTTTCTGTCAAAGAAGGAGACTGGACATTATCTCTAAGACTGTCTTTATTTCTAAAATGATGTCATTTTAGCTGTCATCCAAATTGTTTAATGTTGTCCAAGTACTGGCTGAAATCAACTGCTTTTCCTTTAGAAAAAAGTAAGATTCATTAGAGAAAGGGAGAGAAAAATAAAATGCTACCACACAGATAGGCCCCTCCAGCAGTTTCCCACAAATTGGGTGTAAGTGTCAATCTTAAGCTCAGCCTGAACTTCTGTCCGAAAGGCTGTGTCTGAACACCTGGTCAGGTCACAGTGCTGGGGGCTGCGGATCGCATCCAAATGCCTCATTAATGTGCCCACAAGCGTCTCTCCTCTCTCTGCTATGAATGCAGCCTATCCTAGAGCTTCTACTCAAAGGGCCTTTAATTATAGCTGAACTGGAACACTCCGGGTAATGGACAGACCAGGCTGAACACAGTGCACAACAAATCACCACTGAACATAATCTGTGCAGTAGACTTCGATAAACAATCTATTTGGGGTCTGTTTTTCCTGTGAGCCAAATTAAGGTGAAGAGGGAAAAATAATATTTCAGTAGGTACACTGTAGGAATAATAGAAAAACATGGGTTTTTACAAGTCATACCAGGTCCTCTGTAAATGACGGCCAGCACGATGGTGTCCTCGGGGGAGCTCCCTGGGGCCCAGCCAACAGCTCGGAGCCCTGGGAGTTGGGAGACCAGCAATACGAGTATTCTCATGATGCCTTCCTGTTTGTGGCGTCAAGTCTTGGAGGACAGAGCTGGTAGATGGGCTGGATTCTGGGGCAGGGCTGCCTGGGTTGGAATCCCACCTCTGATCTCACAAGCCCGGTGAGTTATTTAACCTCTAAGCCATCTGTAAAATGGGGATAATAAGCACAGTGCCTGGCACGGGGTGTTGGTGGTTATTGCTCCTACCATTCTTACTACTATTATTTACTTCACCTTCTTAGACCTTCCTTTTCTTTAAAGCAGTAGGAAGTCCACAGATGAACTGAGCAGAGGCCACTCCCCCATTCTGAAGGTTTTAAGCCTGAATTCAACAAACCTATGATGTCAGGTTCCCAAAAATAATGCTGAATAATTTTTCGGACTGTAGTTGCCCAAATCTGGAATTAGCAACCTGAAAGTACACAAATTTGCCAATTCCCAGCACATGGTATGGCCACTCCTGGTACATTAATTCTTCGTATTCTTCGTATTCGAAATCTAGCTGGGACATCCTTGATATGATACACTTTGCATGAAGCATCTGAGAACTGCCGCCAAAGCTTGCTGAGCTTTACCCTGAAATCGTCTTCCTCCGGGCATATTCCTTAGCCCACGGTGTTGCCACATGAGAAGGAGTGGAACCCACTTGCCCACACCTTCCATGGTATTGAATAAAGCCAAGGGGAAGACGGCTCTTTTGGGAGACGGCCTGATCCCGTCAGCTCTGTGGCACATGCGGGACTTTGAGCTTCCCTCTTACTACCTTCAAAATTAGGAAAATACTGCCTTGTTTCTTAAGGCAGGTCTGAGGATTAGAGAGTGTAAAAAATTAGGCTACAGTGCTCAGCACAGAGCCCGGGGGAGGTGTTGGGACACGGTGGACAGGAGCATCCTCCTCACCAGCACCGAGCATCATCACCTCTGTGGGCATGATCCCCTCTGTGCTCCCCACCATCATCAGCAGCAGCCCCATCCAGATGGCCACCAGGGCCACGATCGCCACCGTCACCTCCCCCAGCGGCATCACGAGGACTAGCGGTGTGCCAAGCTCTGGACTACGTTCTGCGGGGAGAGAGGGTCTCAGACACGGACCTGAGCAAACTGCAGGTGGAAATGGGAGTTAGGTCACGGACCTGTGCAACTCTGAGTGGAAGTGTATTTTTAAAGAGGTCCAGTGACCCTGGTGTGGACGGAAGAGGAGAATCGGAGCAGCTGCCTGGAGCCAACACACTTCCTAGAGCCAACAGCCTGTCTGCCCAACCACGAACTAGGCATGGAAGCTCCCCTCCCTGCCAGGTTCACCAGGACCAGGGGCCCGGAGCGAAAAGTCAGGCTTCCTTCCTCGCATGGAAATCCGCCCACTCCAGTCCCAGATTGCACAATTAGGGATTCAGACTGCCAGGAAGCCTGGAGGCCCTCGGAGCCCCACCTGCGAGCAAACACTGAGTGGATGAGACATATCTATACACTGGCCACTAATGCTTATCAGGTTTCTCTTGTGCCAAGGACCCAAAACGAATTAGGAAACTCACTCTGGGCCATGTTTGACCACAGAACATCTTCTCCCGTTTGTCCCACAGCCTGAAGGCAGCACTGACAAGCACATTGATCAGGATGTGCTTGCGGCTGGTGACAAACTACACAGCAGTGGGGCTGTCCACAGGCTTCCTAATGAGGTGACCCCACGATGCCACTGGATGTGGCAAGATTTGAGATCCCCATAAGGGGGTCTCAGGAACCCTCCACCTCCAATTCATTAACGTAGAGAAGCGATTACTTTGCTGTGCCTTTCTGTGCTCGGGCCACAGAGGATGATTCTGGTGCATTGTTAACTCTCTCCCTCTGTCTCTGTCTCTCTGTTTCTTTCTCTATCCCTCTCTACCCCGTCTCTCCCTCTTTCTCTCCTTTCCTTTTCCTCAGTCCCTCTCCCCGCTCTCTCTCCCTCCCTCCTTTCTTCCCTCCTTCTGCCTCCCTCTCTCCCTCTTTACCTTCCCTCCCCTTTCTCCCTCCCAACACAGAGAGAGGCTATCCTGCCAAGGGGCTCAGGCTCTAAGCAGCCAGCCTGCCCCATGTGCAGGGAATAAACTGGAGGTGTCGTTCTTACCGACAGCATTGTTGCCAGGACAAAAGAAATGTTTGCCTTTAGGGGAGCTTCACACTGGTCTATCTTTCTCTGCAGCTGAGACACAGAGCTTTCGGTTAGAAAAACCAGTCCCCAAACACCTTTTACAGAGCTCACAAAATCCATGTGGTTAAAGAGATGTTAAGTTCTAAACTTGGGATCAACGAATTTTGCAGAAAGTTAACAGTAATCCGAGCTGTGGATTTTAAATTACGGATTTCCGCAATGATACTGCGTTACGCTCACTTGGAATGGTTCTAGAGACAGCTGGTGACGTAAAGCCAGCATCCTGCTCCTCCACCCTACCCCACCCACATTACCTCTTCCTCCTGTCATTCCTGCTTCATCTGCTGTCCTGGTTTGCATCTTGTCCTTTCCAGCAGCGGCACCTATAGCCCCAGACTCAGCAAGTAACAGGTTGAAAGGAATGGACTGGAGCAGAGAGTTGCAATCCATTTTTCTACCCACCTGGGATAAGCATGAAGCATGGAGTTAGAGGCCACTGACTACAATAACCACTTGGAGTTAGAGCCCATTGACTACGATAACCATCACAAAATGGGTCCTGTTTTCCGAGTGCTGGTCCCAGGCTGTTCTTTGGTTTTCTATGTTTTAATTCTTTTTGACGCTCTCAACAATCCCATGGTATAGACATAACTATAGCATTTTACAGACAGGAAGCTGACATCCCGGCAGGTGAGGACCAGGGCTGGGACGCAGCCTCACGCATCTGGCTTCAGGCTGCAGAAAGAAGCAGGCTCACCCTGCAGTCTGTCTGGAGGAAAGTGACAGAGTTTGGAGGAGGAAACTCGGTGACCTTGTTTTTGGCTTAAAAAATAAATGTGAAAACGCTGGACAAGAATTCAGAGTTCTGACTTCAGCTCTACCACCAGTTAAGTGTTGGAAAGTGGACACTGCACCTTCTCAGTGTCAGTGTCCCTCTCTGTAAACCACTGAAGGTCTCAGGGGACTTTTCACCCTCATAAAGCATGATTCTACAGAAAGAACAATCCGGCCTGATATAACAAGGCTGTGGCTTTCTTTCTGCCTGTCCAGTCAGCTCTGAAGAGTCCAGATGGGAGAAGTGGACAACTCTCAAAGGATGCCCGAGTAGCTTCTTACACATGGTTACATGAGAAGTTAGATCAAAAATAAAGACAAAAAAGAGAATGTCTTCTGCCCACACAGATTCAACACAACACATGATGTGATGAGCCCTGGGTGGCATACTGAACTGATGAATCACTGAACATTATATTAAAAACCAATGATGTACGACACCTTGGCTAATTGAATTTAAAGAAAAAGAAAAAGAAAAACAAGAAATAAGGACTTCTCACAAAACCTCTTTGTGGCCTCCCGTGTATGTTTATACAACCTTCTCTCCTCCCAGCCAGTCAGCTGTGGGAGGGCAGAGCCGGCTGCCTTGCTCTGTTAACTGCAGGATCTGGCCTGGGGCCCAGCAGGATGAAGGCAGAAACACGTGCCAGGAAGGGGACAGGGCATGCATCTGGGAGAGATTGTCCATGTGTGATCAGACCGCGTGAGGTCACACATTGATCCCCAGCCCTCATGATGGTCACACCTCAGATGCTCCACCTGCTGGGTAAGCAGATGAACACATAAATGACAGGTAGGCTGGTTTGCCCACAGAGCTCAGTTCTGAGCCGACTAGACCCTCAGGCTTTCTGTAAGTGGGGTGGCCTGCTTCTGCAGGTAGGACTTTATGGAGCAGGGAATGGGGGATGGTACTCAGAGTAACTATGATTAATCCCTTCCTACATACCAGGCACAAAGGCTGAGAACAGCTCTACCATGAGATCCCAGCTTCCCACCGCAGGTCAGTAGAAATAACAGCATGACAAGGCAACTTTTAGGTCAAATGAACATCACGGATATGGCTCAGACACAATGTTGTGGCCATGGTCCTCACAGCTCCACCTTTGCACACGTTCTTCCCAGTAGCGCCGCTAAGTAGAGGGTGGGGGGAGCCCTGAGCCCCCAGATTGGATTTCCTAAGATGGCACCTCTTCAGAAACGGAGGACGCCTGGCTGGTCTCCAGTCTGGGGCTATGAGGAGACGGCTGCCATGAACAGCCTCGTGAAGTCTTCTTGTGAGCATACCTGTCCTTTCTCTGATGTGTCACAAGACAGACGAATGGTCAACTGTAAAGAAACTGCCAACACAGTGGCTGGAACACTTTATGTTTCCACTAATTACTGTACATTCTCACCAAGAGTTGGTATCATAGCTTCTTTTTTTTTTTATTTTAGTCAATCTAGTGGACAGGAAGTAGTAGTCCTTTATGGTGTTATGCTGTATTTCCCCAGTGTATAATGATGTTGGGCACCTTTAATCCCCTTATTGGCCATTTCTGTGTCTTTTTTTTATAAAGGATCTGTTCAAAACTCTCACATATTTTGTGTTGGCTTGCTCAGCTGTTTTTCTTTTTCATCTTTATTAAGGTATAATTAACACACAATAAACAGCACACATTTGTTTTGACACAACTCTACACCTATGAAAACCATCACCAGAGTTAAAGCAGTGAACACAACTCTCACCCAAAAAGCGTGCTTGTCCCCTCTTTAACATTTCCTTCCCACTGCTCCCCACTCACACACCCTCAGGCAACCACTGATTTCCTTTCTGTCACTCATTCACTACTTTGTATTTTCTCATACTTCGTGTAAATAAAACTATAACACTATGCACTTTCTTTCTGTCGGTCAGCATAATGATTTGGAAAGTCATCCGAGCTACGGCATGCATCAATAATTCATTCATCTCTATTGCTGAGGAGTATTCACTTGTTTCTTCATTCACTTGTTGATAGGCTTATGAGTTTTTCCCGTTGTTGGGAATTACTATTACAGCGGCCATGAATATTCATGTACAGTCTTCAAATGGACAAAGCCCTGATGGATCTTGGACAGGAGTGTGACGGCTGGATCATGGAGTGGGCGTATTCCCACCAGCAGTGGGTGAGAGTTCCATTTCTCCACCCCCTTGCCAACACGTGGTGTGGGCAGTCTTTTAAATTTCAGTCATTCTAGTAGGTGCAAGATGACAGCTCCTTGTAGTTTCATTTTATTTCCCTGATGAACAATGTTGAACATTTCACCTGAGTTTATTTGCCACCATTTATCTTCTTTGGTGAAGTGTCTTTTTAAATCTTTTGCTCAATTCTTTACTTGCCTCCTCTTTTTCATTTTAATGAGTTTTGAGAGCTCTTTATACATCGTAGAGAAAAGTACTTTTTCAGGTGTATTATTTGCAAATTTTTTTCCCAGCCTGTGACTTGTCTTCTCATTCTCTCATCAGGACCTTTCAAAGAAGAGAATTTTTAATTTTTATGAAGTCCAATTTATGACTTCTTCTCTTCTGGGCTGCACTTCTGGTGTCACATTTATACATCAGTTTGGGGGACCTCAACACTATTAAGCCTTCTGACACATGATCATATTGCCATTTAGACCTTCTCTAGTTATTCTCATCAATGTTTTTTTAATTCTCAGTGTACAAAGCCTTACACATATTCTGTTACATTTCTAATTGTTTCATAATCTCAATGATACTATAAATGACTTCTTCTAATTGTTTGTGGTTAGTATATAGAAATACAATTGATTTTTGCACATGTACTTGGCATTCTATGGCATTGCCAAGCTCACTTATCAGTTTTAGCAGCTTTTTTGTAGATTCCACCAAATTTTCTGCAAAGGTGGTCATGTAATCTGGATGCCTTTTATTTCTTTTTCTTGCTTTATTGCATTGACTAAACCCTCCAGTACAGAAGAGGCAAGAGCAGTGTTCCTTGTCTAATTCCAGATTTTAAGTAGAAAGCATTCAGTTCTTCTTCATTCAGTGTGAGGCTAGTTGTAGATTTCTATCATGAGTTGATGATGACTTTTGTCAAATGCTTTTTCTGCATCTTTTACAACTATTATGTATAGTTTTCCTTTTTCTTGTCAATGTGATGTTATACTCAATAATTTTCAAATGTAGAGAATTTCCCTGTATCATCATGTATTCTTCTTTTTTATATAATGTTGGATTTGATTTGCTAAAATTTTTCTAGAATTTTTGCTTCTATATTTCTGAGGGATAATGATCTGAAGTTTTCTTTTCCTTTATCTTTCTTTGATGATTTTAATCCTTTGATATTTATTGGCTTATTTTATGGCCCAGGACATGATCTATATTGGGAAATATTCTGTGTATACTTGAAAATAATGTGTATTCAGCAGTCTTTAGATACTATTGTTCTATTAATATCAATTAGGTTTAAGTTGCTTGATGGTATTGTTCAAATCTTTATATCCTTAATGATATTTTATCTATTTGTATAAGAAGTTCTTGAGAGAGACTGTGGATTTGTATAATTCTCTTTTTGGTATTCTCATATTTTTGCTTTATGTATTTGAAGTGCTGACATTAGGTTCATAAAAAAGATTTTTATGTCACTTAATGAATTGATCATTTAGTCATTCTTAACTGCTCTATCTCTAATA